AACTGTTGTGACTGTTGTCACCGTTGTCACTGTTGTCACCATTGTCAGCGTAGTCACTCTTGTCACTGTTGTCGCCGTTGTCACTGTTGTCATTATTGTCAGCGTTGTCACTCTTGCCACCGTTGTCACTGTTGTCATTGGTGTCACAGTTCTCACTGTTGTTACTGTTGTCACTGTTCTTACCATTGTGACCGTTGTTACTGTTGTCACTGTTTTCACTGTTGTTACCATTGTCACCGTTCTCACTGTTGTCACTGTTGTAACCGTTGTCACTCTTGTCACCATTGTCACTGTTGTCATTGTTTTCACTGTTGTCACCATTGTCACTTGTCACCATTGTCACCGTTGTCACTGTTGTCACCGTTGTCACTGTTGTCACTGTTGTCACTGTTGTCACCGTTGTCACTGTTGTCACTGTTGTCACCCTTGTCACTGTTGTCACCGTTGTCACTGTTGTCCTTGTTGTCACTGTTGTCACTGTTGTCAGTGTTGCCGCTGTTGTCAATGTTGTCCTGTTGTCAGCGTTGTCACTGTTGTCACTGTTGTCCCTGTTGTCACTGTTGTCACTGTTGTGAGCATTGACACTGTTGTCATCGTTCTCACTGTTGTCACTATTGTCACCGTTGTCACCGTTGTCACTGTTGTCACCGTTTTCACTGTTGTCACTGTTGTCACTGTTGTCACCGTTTTCACCGTTGTCACTTCTGTGACTGTTTTCACTGTAGCCACTGTTGTCATCGTTGTCACCGTTGTCACCGTTGTCACTGTTGTCACCCTTGTCACTGTTGTCACCGTTGTCACTGTTGTCATTGTTGTCACTGTAGTCACTGTTGTCACTGTTGCCGCTGTTGTCAATGTTGTCACTGTTGTCAGCGTTGTCACTGTTGTCACTGTTGTCACTGGTGTCCCTGTTGTCACTGTTGTCACTGTTGTCAGCGTTGACACTGTTGTCATCGTTCTCACCGTTGTCACTGTTGTCACTGCCGTTACCATTTTATAGTATATTTGAAGTATATATATTATGTAATCAAAGTATACTGCAAAGAGTATACAAAAAGTACATTTTTGGTAGGAATTAAGTTAGTGTTGAGTATACTTGAAGTATACTTTTGAGCATACTTCAAGTATACTCCAAGTATACTAAAACCCACCTGAAATTGGAACGCCCTAAAGTATACTTTAAGTACACCTTAAATATGCTTATAGGTGTACTCGAAAATCAGTTGGCAGACAGGCTATATGAAAAAGTATACTTTTATAGTCCTCTCTGCATGGTCTCAATTTTACCTCATTAGGGGCTTAATTTACATAGTTAATTACTGCATGTCGCAGTCGCATTTCACTTTAGCTTCTTTTAATATGATCCCCTGTCCCCATGAAATATTTTATTCATCACAAGTAAAATCTTGCATGAACCTTAAATGCTAGAAACATGTGACATATTTTAATAACCAATTGACAAAATATGCTTTATTCTTGTTAAAAATTGTAACAATGACTTGAAATTAAAGTATTCTCCAAGATACAGTATATTGACAACAAATAAATTTTGTATGTTTGAGTGTTATTAAAATACAGGGGACATTGCTTGAGGATTGTGCTGCTAAATTTTACCAGAAATACAGCCACACAAATATTGAACTTTGGTGCAATTTAATGCATTTTGAAATAAATTTTTATTAATCAATTTAACCGCTGTCATAGTAAAGTTTAACAAATCCTGTGTCCTCTGCCAATGTCAAATGTAATGTTACTTACAGTAGTTTGACAAACAACTCATCTGTTGTTGAAGCCACTGTCAGTACTCAGCTGCTCTGCTCTACAGGCTCTGAGCTGCTCATCTCTCTGCAAGTCCATTTTTTTTGGCTTTGGAAGTCCCGTATCTTCCATGCCTAAAAGCCACGGCACTTGCTGTAAATACTTTTTACTAGTAATACCCCCTTGGATTCCATTACATGAGGTGAAAAAAAGGATGATTTGTTGGGACACAAGTACTCCATCAACAGAGTCAAAACAGCCTATAGCTGCGCCAAGAGCGTTAAAATGCTGTGCTCAGTTCCTCGACAATTAATTCTGATTAAATTTTAATCCAAGGTTATTTCAGTCCAAGTTTTGTGATTATGCCTTACTCGCTCTGAGATCGAGCTATGAAAACACTAAACAACATGTAGGACAGTAAACACAAAAAAGGAATTTTCTGTCAATCCTGTATTATGGACCTTAAACTGAATGTGTTCATTACAAGAACTATGCTGCTTTATTGTTGTCTAAAACAATTAAGCTTAATAGCTGAACGCACGACCATTTTAGTAAAGAAAAATGAGAAGAAGCAGATCGGGAGAAGAAACTAAAATGTAGTTCCTTTCTAAACTTCACAAGCATCGACATCTTTTTACAAAAGAGTGAAAAAAATATAAAGATAATTCATTTATCGAAAGGAAAGGACAGTACTTACCTTTTCAGTCAGTCTCCCATTATTAAAATGAAATCATCGAAGAAAAGGATTACAAATCGATTTAGGAAAGCTTAGGGAAAAAAAATAAAAGTCCTGTTCTTGCAGTTCTGTGCAGTTCAATGGACACACGTCATCTCTATCTTTGTTGTGATTGAACGAATGAAGAGAGTTTGGCAGCCGCGTTCAGAAATTCGCGCCAAAACCATCAAAACACGGGTGCTAGGATCCAGTCTTTCATCGTCCCGTCCGAGTGCGGCCATCTTGGTTTCTGAACGTTCGGATCGATCTAGATCTTTGAGATCTTTGTGCATATGCTGATTTTTTTTCACCGGTTAATTTAACAAACAAAATGTGAGGGACAAGCACGAGATCTGAACTAAGGTCAGAGTAAAGGAAACTGCTTGAGCTTCGTTCATATATAGCCTTGAGTTCTCAAGTGAAGATCGAAGTCGGTCTCTGTTTATCGATATTTACCTGTCGTTCTACGGAAGCAGAAGCTCAATGCCGAATGGAAGAATAAAGTACGTTACAGTGAGAAAGCACGGCTGTTTTTTTGGTCATTTTAATCACACTTCACAATTTTTCTTGTTCTTTTTTATTTAAACTTAAGCTTCGATGCATGTACGAATGCATCCAAGTGATTTAGGGAGCGATCGTTTTTTATGTGTGCTTCTATCAAATTCTGTGATGGTCCTAATGTCAATTTCATTTGCAGACTTGCTAATAGAATCGAGAAGGACTAAACTGAATTTGCTTTTTAATTGACATTGAAGGGAACTGATACTTTTAATTTACATCCGTTTTGAGGCGTTTTGCACAATTTATTTTAAATTACAGTTACATGTAATTAATGTTTCCATTAAGAAAGAGCAGTACAATGTTATGCCTTTTAATGGTCATTTATACTGTTGCAGTAGATTTGAAGTATACTTATTTCCCACTGCAAAAGAAGGAAGAATAGTACTTTAAATAAAGCACTGTCAGTTATACTGCTGTAGTAGATTTGAAGTATACTTATTTCATACTGCAAAAGAAAGAAAAGCACTCCTACATCAAAAGTATACTCTAAGTATACCCTTCAAATTATACTTAGAGTGTACTACAATTCATGCAGTACATTAGGGGTATACTGGAAGTATACTTATCATCAGTAATTACTGATACCGTATACTCTGAGTGTACTGGAAGTATACTTCTCTATCAAAATTTTTTGTAAGGGTGTCGTCACTGTTGTCACCATTGTCACTGTTGTCACTGATGTCACCGTTGTCACCATTGTCACTTTTGTCACCGTTGTCACTGTTGTCATTGTTGTCACCGTTGTCACTGTTGTCACCGTTGTCATTGTTGTCACCGTTGTCACCGTTGTTACTGTTGTCACCGTTGTCACTGTTGTCATTGTTGTCACCGTTGTCACTGTTGTCACCGTTGTCACTTTTGTCACCGTTGTCACTGTTGTCATTGTTGTCACCGTTGTCACTGTTGTCACCGTTGTCATTGTTGTCACCGTTGTCACCGTTGTCACTGTTGTCACCGTTGTCAACGTTGTCACTGTTGTCACTGTTGTCACCGTTGTCACCGTTGTCACTGTTTTCACTGTTGTCACTGTTGTCACCGTTGCCGCTATTGTCACTGTTGTCACCGTTGGCAGCGTTGTCACTGTTGTCACTGTTGTCATCGTCTTCGCTGTTCTTACCGTTGTCGCTGTTGTTACTGTTGTCACTATTGTCACTGTTGTCACTTTTGTCAGCGTAATGTCGCTCTTGTCACTCTTGTCCCTGTTTCCAGTGCTGTCAGCGTTGTCACTGTTGTCACTGTTGTCACTGTTGTCACCGTTGTCACCGTTGTCACCGTTGTCACTGTTGTCACCGTTGTGACCGTTGTTACTCTTTTCACTATTGTCACCGTTGTCACTGTTATCACTGTTGTCACCGTTGTCACCGTTCTCACCTTTGTCAACGTTGTCACCGTTGTCACTGTTGTTACTGTTGTCACCGTTGTGACCGTTGTAGCTATTGTCCCTGTTGTCACTGTTGTCACCGTTGTCACCGTTGTCACCGTTGACACTGTTGTCACTGTTGTCACCTTTGTACACCGCTTTCACTGTTGTCATTGTTTTCATCGTTGTCTCTGTTGTCACTGTTGTCACCGTTGTTACCGTGGTTACTTTTGTCACTGTTGTCTGTATTAAACGATCAAGCCATTCCCAAAGGGTGACCGCCGCTTAATACAGGTTTGACTGTATCCGTTTTCGAATTTAAATATCCGGATTTGGATTTTAGTACAGCTGGGAGTTTTGATGATTATTGTCCAAAAACTCTACAAGAGGTCAACGAAATGATTCTAAAAAGTCATCTTATTCCCCCTAGATGTATGACAAAAATGAAAACCGTTAAAAACACCGAGTTATACGCTTAGTTTAAACAGTTTAAATGACTGACATAAAGCATATATTTACAAAGATGATAATAATAATAAAAAACAAGCGAGCGCTATCGCGTACTACACAATCGCCGTCTTCTTGACTTTCGCGTGCTCTGTGATTCTACACCATGCGATCTGCCGCCACTGGAATTCTCTCCGTTTGACACGTTTCATCATCTTCGGAGTCCAATCCAGTGCAGTTTTCCTCCTCTTCATCCAAATCAAATAACTCGATGCTTTCTTCGTCATCACTTTCAAAAACAGGCATCTTTTGATTGGTCAATTTTCCTTTAGTGGGCTTCGGCGGTCTGGGTGCGTTACGCGGCGTTCTGAGGGGCATGGGACTAGGTTCGTCGTTGCTATCTTCCACTCTTTTCTTCTGTCGTTTTGTCTTTGTCGCCGGTGTTCGACGTTTCTGAACTCGGTTTCCTCTTCCTACAGAGTAAAGTCTGGCTGATGGGACTCATTCAAAAATAGTACCGAAAAAGGTAGACAGAGAATCCAAAAATACAGAGAACAATTATCTTTGTCGTCAAACGGTAAAGACTTTGGTTACAAGGCTTTGTTCGTCAATCATCAAACCAAAAAGGTAAATTCACGTTTCAAAGGCCAAGTCGAATAATGGCGTTTCTGTCAACCCAAGAGGACGAAAGTCAAGCGATGAAAATTCCTTCGACTTCAGCTATCTAGTGCTTTATGACTCTACTGGGCGAACAACGAAATAAGTAATGGAAAAGGAATGTGTTCACGTGAGTAAACTTTTTGGTTTGACATACAAAGCCACGTGACCTAAACTGTTGACGTCTGGCGCCAAAATTAACTGTTAGTAGTATCTTTGAATTACGCGGTCTAACAGGTTTCGGTAGCGACCAGATTGATTTCATTCTCTAATAAACGCATTTGCTGCCTGCGTTCGGATATCTTACGAGTCGTGCTGAAATTCTCGATTATTATACAGGCAGCAAGTATGTTTATTTTTTCGGTAAATAACTAAGTACGTGTTAGTTTCTTTCTCTGAGCACAGGTAAATATTACTCTGCAAAGTAACAAAGAGGGCTAAAAAAATTTAAAAATATAGGCTGTTTTCGTAAAAATCGGTGAATAATAGACATAATAGGCCAGCAATCGTATTATATGGAAACCACTTTCGTGTAAAAAATACGGTTTCAGAAATATGAGGATTCGAGTGGACGTGGCCTCATTAAACACATCAAGCTTCTATGGAAAAGCGATTTAAAATATAACCTTGTGTTAACCCATTTGTTGGGAAAACAAAGTGAGATTCCAAAAGTAATCGGTCCATATGCATGCAATCTACCATATATTAGTGAAACAAAATCGATTATTTAGCCTACAGTGTACCTCTGTTCTTCATGAATGACCTGGGAGATTATTTACACCACACTTGTTTCTCTCAAATACACCTTGATATGATGTTAAGAAAGGGGCGTTAACTGAATAAATGGTCTTTAGGTTTTAGTCATGTGATCAAAAGGACGCTACGCGATAGGACGATGTTATTTCAGGCAGATGTGGCTGCTGAAATTTTCACGGAATTGAAATAGGTCACTCTAAAAAAGCATTATAATTTATAATAAATAGGACATGACGCAATGAGGTAATTTTCTTACAGAAAAAAATATGTCTCATTATACACGTGTTACTAAAAACAAAATGTGTGACGTGGAAACTGAAATCTCCTAATAATAATAATAATAATAATAATAATAAATTTATTTATATAGCGCTCATATCCTGAGGTTATGGCGCTTTACAATGTAAAAAGGGGAAAATGAAATAATTTACATATCATAAGCATGGAATAAAAAATATTAAAAATCTATTTACAACCCATATATTACACGTCTTAAAATCATTTTACAAAAACAATGACCCACTCTATAAAAATTGCATAAAAAGATATATTTTTTCAATCCTTTCTAAAACTAGTTCAAGGTGGTGACTTACGCAAATCTAATAGTAGCGAATTCCACAGTTTAGGAGCCCACAATGAAAAAGCCTTGTCCCGGTAAGTTTTCGTCAATGATCGAGGCTGTTCTAACAGCTGCTTAGATGTGGACCGCAAGTTCCTGGAATGCGACTGATAACTAAGTCTGTCCGCCATATAGCTAGGTGAAAGATCTTTAAGTGATTTGAAAACTAGCAAAAGAATTTTACAAACAGTACGATAACTAATAGGAGGCCAGTGAATAGCAAGAGCTGCAAGACTCCTTTTATGATCTGTATATTTTTACTTGTTTTTTTATTAGTATAGTCTCTTGATAGCTTTTCGTGGTATGTGTTTTTTCATTTTAACTATGTAAATCCATTGCATATATTTTTTAAAGATAGATAAATAAAGCTTATTATTAAGGTCAAATAAAACAGGCGTAATGTGATCAAATTTACGAGTCTGAGTAATACTCATAACACTCTTCTTTAGTGTATCTCACTGAATGAGTACTTCGTCCGCTTAATTGTTATAATGTATTACATCGCTGCAGGGTATTTAAAACCGTTTGCCATGGACTGTAACAGCGTGTAATGTACTTTCTCATTGCATCTGGAAATATATTCAATGCCTTTAGCGAAGAAATCTGCCCTTGTTTGAGCGCAATTTGAAAGCTAATAGAATACTTTCAAGTTAACTGGTAAGGCTATTTACTAACTGAAAAGAAATTCGTGCTCTTAACATTCCTTATCTTGATGTGAGCGTAACATCAAAACATTACTTAGCTGTTAAGTTAAAGTTTCGATGTCTCAAGTGAGAATTAGAATTGGCTTCAAATATACTTCCGTTCAGATACCGTCCATCAAACGAAACTGGGTACAAAATATTCTTGTTTCACTTTTTACTCGGAAACGCAATTTTTTTCACAGGAAAAAAATATCCACCTCGTTGTGTTGATGAAATCAAAAGGAAAGAGAAAGCCATTGATCATTCTGATAGGTGACATTAATTTACTGGGTGAGATTAATAAATCTTGGGGATTAGTAAGATGGTTTTATGCTAGTTATGAGTGAAGTGGAAAAATGATTTAATGCATTGTATAGCTGAAGTGTAGTTCATTAAAAAGACATTAATAAGGGAGATCATGTAACCTGTGAGACAGGGGTGGGTGGGTGAGTTAGGAAAAAAATATCCTAAAAAGGGACTTGGATTGAAAAAAAATCTCGCATCCAGTTAATGTTCTTCTATGCACAATAACCGAATAGAATTAAGGAAAAAAATCATTAATCACAGTGGTAGCCTTTAAAGAAAAGCTTGCCAACCTGAATCATCCAACTTCCACACCCTCCCCCGCTAAAATTAACCAGTCGCTTGTTTTTGTACTTAGGCTGAGGCGGTCACCCTATAGCATTCCACCGCATCCAAGTGCTACTACCTCGACGAAAAAAGCATTTGTGGCCAAGCGGTAGTTTAAACAACTGTGTTGTGAAGTATTTTGAAAGTTTTTTTTTTTAAGATCTGTCTCATCTTATTTGAAGGTTAGTTTTTGTTTCATTAAATGGGTCAAGGTCACATGAAGTTTGGATTTTGTCCATAGGTGTTTTCCTGTTTTCATCTTATGTTTTTACTTCAGGCGTGTACTTGAATTTATGCTTCGCTCGCGAATTTATTTTACTTAGTGCTTTTTTAGGAGCTAGTTCGCTGGCCGTTGTCAGCTGTTAGTTTTTTTAGGTGGTCGTGTTTGTGATGCTAGAGCTGACCTTGACTCGTTAATTAGTCGCGTCGAAGTTCCTGTTTGGGTTTGTTAACCAAGGCTTTAGTTTTTCGTTGGTTTGTTGCTTCTTGCCGATTGTAACCATTTAGGTTCAGTAATACCAAAACATTACCCACACCGAGTTTACCTTGATTTTATTTCCACGGTCAGCTATCCCAAACATGTCCAGCTTTGGCTATAAAAACCACTACAGTGGAACCCCACTATAACGAACCTCGCTATAACGAAGACCCCGTTATAAAGAACAACATTTGAAAGCCCGGCAGATTTACAGTAAAATATGTTGAAACGAACCCCGCTATAACGAACCCCGCTATAACGAAATCCCCGCTATAACGAAAGATTTTGACGGTCCCAACGCACAATTTACCTCGCTATAACGAATATTTTGTCCTGTTGCTCGGTCGCAGTCAGTAACAACGACAGATTTGAGCGTAGAGTAGAATTCACAGCTTGCTTTATTCCGGTTTTCTCAACACGCGACAGAAGATAAAACGCTGTACAGATCAACAGTCAACAAATCCTTTGACAGCAACCT